GGTATAGGGTGTAGGGCGTAGGGTGTAGGGCGTAGGGTATAGGGTGTAGGGTGTAGGGTATAGGGTGTAGGGTGTAGGGTATAGGGTGTAGGGTGTAGGGTATAGGGTATAGGGTGTAGGGCATAGGGCGTAGGGCGTAGGGCGTAGGGTGTAGGGTATAGGGTATAGGGTGTAGGGTATAGGGTGTAGGGTGTAGGGTGTAATTTTTAAAATCTGTTTAGTGGTTTAGGGTTAGTGGAACTAAGACTCTTGTTTAGTGGATTAGAGGTTAGTGAAGCTAACCTTAGCTGTGCCCACCACTGGGAATCATCTCATCTTACATTTAGATTCTTTTTAAACTTTGTGTTGTGAACGAACCTCAGCTAAACAACATTTCAGCTCATAGCTGTAATTGACAGAATTATAGTAATTTTATTGTATTTTTTAACGTCGGTCGGCTGTGGCAGCCATCTTGAATCAGGTGAACTCCATTATAGCTGAACGGTGAAGGAAGAGGAAAGGGAGATTTTTTGTGTGTTTGAATTGTTAGCTAAGCATCTTGTGAACAACTGAACATATTTTGAAAAACCTCTCAGGAAGAGTCAACCTAATTCAAGATGGCCACCACAGCTATCACAACAGTAGGTATAAGTCAGTGAATATTACAGATATTGAGCTAAATAGCAACATGTAGTTCCCATGATCGTAAGATGAGTTTAGTATAAAGTGGTGAAGGTTTTACAGGAACCTACCAAATTAAAAGCTTTGTTCCATGAAGCTTCACGGAGCTTTTACATGACAGAACAAACTGCAGTCTGCAGAGTCGTCCCATTCTTTGAGAACCTGGAACCAGAAGAGTTTCATCCAACATCAGCTCTTTGTTCAAATCAAACACAGACGTGTGACCTGGTGCTGATCCGTACCCGTTCAGGTTGGCGGGCTCGGAGTGGTACACATGTTTTCCCTGCTCAGCTATAGTGTGAGGGTGGTGCGCTCCACTGTGGCTCTGTGTGGCCTTCAGTGGGTGCAGCTGGTTCTTCAGGTCTGCGTTGCTCAGGGGCACAGGGATGTGGTGTGGCTCCTTAATGTTCCCGTTGACGTCTGCCCCCCTGGGCTCCGGCTGGTCCAGATCTAGGTGTTTGCGGGTGTTTGTTGGTGAGGACACGTCGATGACTCTGATGTGGGGGACACTGGGCTGCCTCAGGGTCAGCTCGGAGTGGGCCAGCTGCAGCTTCTTCATGTGGCTGATGGCTACAGCTGCGTTATAGGCCTGCTGTGAAGTGACCAGAGGACAGGGGTCAAACCTGAGCTGCTCTGAGACGTTCAGCAGACATGTCTCCTTTTTACACAGAGTATACACTATAACTACTCCTTATTTAGCCTTACTTAACCAATAATAAATGGTTAGTTAACACTGAAAAACATCAAGGATGATTCAGACTTAATAAGCTATAAATTAACATGTTTATTCATGTGTTACCCATAAAGGTGAATTAGTACCAAAACCAACATAGTCATTGTTTATTCATGCTTAATAACTCATGAATTAACTAGTCTGTGTATATGTATGTGAATATTCATGCAAACAGAGAATAATTAATTCATGAGTTTTGTTAAGAATGAATAAACAAGTATGTTGGTTTAGGAAGTAATTAGCCTTTATTGGTAACACATTAATAAATGTGTTAATTTATAACTTATTAAGTATGAATCAACCTTAAATAATGATTTTCCCAGTGTTAAGTAACCATTAACTAATGGTTAAGTAAGGCTAAAAAATGAATATACATTAAGTACGTTGGTTTAGGAAATAATTAGCCTTTATGGGTAACATATTAATAAATGTGTTAATTTAGAGCTTATTACTTATTAATCATGTTACATTAATGAGGTTTTCAAGGTTAACTAACCATTTATTAATGATTAAGTTAAGCTAAATAATAATGAATATACAATAAGTATGTTGGTTTAGGTAGTAATTAGCCTTTATGGGTAAATCATAATTATTTATTTATAACTTATTAAGTATGGATCATCTTTAATTAACGTATTCAAGATGAATTAACCATTTATTAATGATTGAGTAAGGCCAAACAAGGAGAGGTTTTTATGTAATGTTACCAGTCTTTTGTAATGCTGAACCTAGTTGAGCTTGTTTGTTGTTGACTAACTCAGCAGGGTTTAGTGAGCTTTACCTCAGCACATCTTATCTAACTGTCCTTTAACACCTGATTAATCTGCTACAAACCACATCCTCATTAAGGACGCCACATGGAAGCCAAGAGATCAGTGCAGACTGACCTTCCACCTGGACTGGGCAAAGTTCTTCTGGATCTGAGCGCTGACAGAGTAGTAGATGTCCTGGCTCCGGGCCGTCTTCCCGATAATCCTGGAGAACAGATCACGTAACAGAAAGCTCTCATTTATTTCAGGCCAGAGATTAGCCTGGACTCTGAGCAGCTGATTCATGGCTGGGTCTTGTGTAATCCCTTTGAGTGACCTAACTGTTGGTGGAGCTCACCATGGATGTCGTAGCGCCTGCTCTGTGCTGTAACGCATGCTGGGGTTCTTCTGCATCATGTTACGGATGAAATCCTTGGCTGCAGATTAAACATGAAACACTGAAAGTGAAGACAAGAAGAGCGCTGTGAAGAAGGCCAGCAGTGCCTCGTGTAATTACCTGATTCAGAGATATCATCCCAGAAAGGTGAGTCGAACTCGTACTGGGCCTTCATGATTTTAGAAAACAGTCTGGTCTCGGTCTCTTCATAGAAGGGGGGGTATCCACAGAGTCTGCAGGGAAAACATGGATTAAACATCCTCTACAATGTGTTGTAGCTGTGCTGGCAGACACTAGAGGGAGCTATCACTCAACAACCACTACATGAGGAGCAGCATGCTCTAATCTGGAACTGGATCCAGTAAAAGTCAGGTTGTGGAGTAGGTGCTTACAAGATGTAGGTAATCACTCCAATAGACCAGCAGTCCACTGCCTTGCTGTAGGGCTTCTGGGCTAAAACCTCAGGAGCTGAGAGTGAGAGGAAATGTTAACAGAGTGGTAAAAATGAGGCAGAAGAAGACGGAGGCTTGTTTCCTCACCTACATAACCTGGGGTTCCACAGGCTGTCGACATGATGCCGTTATCCGCCATCTTGGACAGGCCGAAGTCACTGATCATGATCTTTGAGTCTTGGTCCTGGCTGTAGTACAGGATGTTCTCCGGCTGGTGGAGGACAGAAACACAGCAGGTGTGTGAAACATCAAACCTGTCCTGGTTCTTTTAATTATTGAAGTGTTTATCTGCAGCTGACTGTTAGCTAGCTCTAACTGAGGAGGGTCTTACCTTCAGGTCTCGATGCACGATGCCACTCTGGTGCAGGTAGCTGACGGCCTGCAGCACCTGCTGGATCACTCTGCTGGCGTCTTTCTCTGAGTACACCCCCCGGTCCAGGATCCGGTCGAAGAGCTCCCCGCCTGAAACCCTGACACACAAACAGAACCGGGTCAAAGCTGAGCCTCAGAATGCTCCTCACTCACCTCACAGGAGGAACCGTGGGAAGCAGCAGCAGCTGTACTGATGAAATATTTCTACTCCTTTTCTGACCAAATCCAGCAGATCAAATGTAAGAAGAGATAAAACTCACAGCTCCATGATCAGGTAGTAATGAGTCCGACTTTCATAGAAATCCTCCATCCCCACGACGTTCTCATGTTTGATTCTGTTGGACGGAGAACACAGAGACAGGTTTTTAACACGTCGCTGCAAAGTTAAAGTCAAATATAAAAGTGGGACCATCAGGATGAAGCTGCTGAGTTTCTAAAACCTTTACCTTCTCAACACGGCGATCTCATTCTCCAGGTTGATGTCCCTCTTCTTCTTCTTCTTCACACACTTCATGGCGAACATCTTCCCTGTCTTCCTCTCCCGCACCATGTAAACCTCAGAAAACGCCCCGCTGGGAAATAAGAGAGAAGCAAAGTGTCAGACGACATCATCGCTGCTTTATTAGAGACAACACAGGAAGAAGTCTGTTTCCCCTCAGAGACACAAACTAATGAGAGCCGGGCCAGTTCAAGTCCAAAAAAAACCAATGAGAGCTGGGCCAGTTCAAGTCAAACACAAACTAATGAGAGCTGGGCCAGTTCAAGTCCAATAAAAACCAATGAGTGCTGGGCCAGTTCAAGTCAAACATAAACTAATGAGAGCTGGGCCAGTTCAAGTCCAATAAAGACCAATGAGAGATGGGCCAGTTCAAGTCCAATAAAAACCAATGAGAGCTGGGCCAGTTCAAGTCCAATAAAAACCAATGAGAGCCGGGCCAGTTCAAGTCCAAAAAAAACCAATGAGAGCTGGGCCAGTTCAAGTCAAAAACAAACTAATGAGAGCTGGGCCAGTTCAAGTCCAATAAAGACCAATGAGAGATGGGCCAGTTCAAGTCCAATAAAGACCAATGAGAGCCGGGCCAGTTCAAGTCAAACACAAACTAATGAGAGCTGGGCCAGTTCAAGTCCAATAAAGACCAATGAGAGCTGGGCCAGTTCAAGTCAAACACAAACTAATGAGAGCTGGGCCAGTTAAAGTCCTATAAAGACCAATGAGAGATGGGTCAGTTCAAGTCCAATAAAGACCAATGAGAGATGGGCCAGTTCAAGTCAAACACAAACTAATGAGAGCCGGGCCAGTTCAAGTCCAATAAAAACCAATGAGAGCTGGGCCAGTTCAAGTCAAAAACAAACTAATGAGAGAGCTGGGCCAGTTCAAGTCAAACACAAACTAATGAGAGAGCTGGGCCAGTTCAAGTCAAACACAAACTAATGACAGCTGGGCCAGTTCAAGTCCAATCTGAGGACATGGCAGCCGTAAACACTAACCCAGTCTGTGTGAGGGCTACACTGGTTCTCTGTTAGCAAAATATCTCAGCTCTGAAAGGATTTCAGTGAAACTCTTAGAACATCTAGCTAACCTTAACCCTTAACCCCACTTCAAGTAAACCTCTAAAACCTCCTGAAGTGGACCTCCAGGACCAGGTCTGGGCACCCTGCTCTGCAGAACTTCACTCCTGATGTGGCTGAAGGGCACAGCAGAAAGAACAACACTGCTCAGGATCTCTGAGGGTTGGTTCAGCTGTCAGAGCTCATTACTGTGCTCTGTGATGTTCTGTTCCCACGCTGGGAATAGTCCTTCAGCTGGATTATAGGTCCTTAATCCCTGACGCAGTGGAAACACAGGCAGACCTGGCCCAGACTGAGCCCAGGAACCAGGCAGACCTGTCCCAGACTGAGCCCAGGAACCAGGCAGACCTGTCCCAGACTGAGCCCAGGAACCAGGCAGACCTGTCCCAGACTGAGTCCAGGAACCAGGCAGACCTGTCCCAGACTGAGTCCAGGAACCAGGCAGACCTGTCCCAGACTGAGCCCAGGAACCAGGCAGACCTGTCCCAGACTGAGTCCAGGAACCAGGCAGACCTGCAGTGTAAACCTGTTCTGGTTCTGCTGGAGGTTTCTTCCTGTTAAAGGCAGTTTTTCCTCTCCTCTGCCACCTGCTGCTCAGGATGGAGACAGTGAAGAGGTGATCCAGATTCTCTGACAGCTTCTCTACATTTAGTGGTTTTTATGAACAGTGCCCTGAGACGATGCATGCTGGGACTTGGAGTTATATAAATAAACTGAATTTAAATTGAACAAAGCAACAAACAATGTCATGCAAAAGCAGAAGTGTGTAAAGTACTTGAAAACAAACAAAGTAAAAGTAAAAATACCTCAACAGAAAATGACATTAAAAATGAATTTCACTGATAAGAAAAGTACTCAGTAAAAGTCATAAATCTCCCAATAATCTGAAAAGTAACATTATTTTTCTCTAAGAAATGAATTATTGAATTTACTGAACCAAGTGATGTCAACTCCATCAAACTGAGTTAAGTAAATGTAAAGAAACGTAATATCATTTTTATGTTTTGAATGTAATGAAATATAAGTAAAAATTATAACAAAAATAGTACAGATCCTCAAAAATATCTGTTAAAAACATTTCTTATAGAAACTCAGTCTTAATTATTCCGATGTTTGCCACAGACAGCTGACAGGAAACACAAGTAAACCCTGTGTTTTCTGCTTTGTCCTGGTCCCAACTGGTACTCTGAGTTTTACTCTGTGTAGTATTTGTACCTCAGACGTCCAGACATCGGCCCTGTCTCTGTCTGAGTGCTAACAGTGGGAGCTCCTCGCTGGCTGAGAATGACCTAAAGTAGGTCTGTTATCCAGTCAAAGTGTTAATCTGACATCCTTCTCAGGACAGGAGGAGAAACCTGGTTTCATGGAGTCACTTACGATCCCAACTCCTCGATGAAGTCAAAGATCTCCTGGATGTTTTCCGTGTTCTTCTTCCAGGCGTAGTCGCCCTCCTGGCGTCCCATGACTGCAGCTGCTTCAGCAGGATTTCTGTTGGACACAAGTGAAACACAGAAACACAGACGTCAGCTCAGCTCCACGCTGACCTGGTTTACTTTCAGTGTCTGAGTGCTGCTGGAGGCAGAGCCAGCGTGATCCTCCCTCCTGGCTCTAATGACAGCCGCAGACAGCTGGGATTAATGCAGCCATGACCAAGCAGTCCTGAGGCTTGGAGCGTCTGCACAGGACACCTTGTCTGTCAGACACAAGCTTCTGGTTTCCTGACTCATCACTGCAGCTCTGATCACCATGTTCATGTCCTGCTTCAAACAATCGTCCATAAAAACACAGCTTTGCTTTTATTCAGAGCACGACATGGTTCCTCTCAGGTGGACAAACTGTTTCTTTACACTGATGAGATCTTAGATCAGACCTCCTGTCACTGGTTAAAGCTGCTCTTCTCTCTTTTCACTGTGTTTTTACAGCTCTGACCTGGTCAGGACTTCACAGCCAGGAGCAGGAAACCCTGAGACTCATACAGACCTGCTAACACTTCATAACACCTAATTTAGCCTGATTGACCATTAATAAATGTTTAGTTAACATCATTAGACTTAATAACCTATACCCATAAAGGTTAATCACTTCCCAAACTCATTGTTTATTCATGCTTAAAAACACATGAACTATTCTATATACTATGTATTTGTACACATATGGTGTATTTGTACATATAATATGTGTATTTGTATATATGTACTGTGTGTATTTGTATGTAAATGCTCATATAAATTTACTTTCACAGCAGGTGTCAGACGTAATGATGGTCAGAGAACATTTGAACCATCAGTAATACAGACAGTGTTTGAATGAACTCTTCTAAAGTGAAAACAGTTTAAATGTTTTATTTCTTGTTTTAGACAAAACCCTGAAGAACCACAGGTTCTTCTACACCTGTGGAAATCAGACAGAAATCATAGTCAGAAAGCATTTAGTTATTTTTGAAGTTTAACTATTGGATCTTTATTGGTTTAATAAATATTACCCCAAACCTCCACACAATAAGACACATATGGCACTACAGGTGAAAAATAAAGTGTATGCAGACAACTTCTATTTAACAATTCTTTGGTTTTAAAAATAACTGCAACCATTTTTGATATTTTTGTCTGATAAACTCTATATGTGACTTCAAGATAGTTTTTCATCAATGATTATTACCAAGAATTTTATTTCTGGTACTCTTTCAATTTCAACTCCATGTAAATTTAATTTATATTATGTCTAACCCTGACTCCACTGAACACTATAAATTTTGTTTTACTTTAATTTTAAGATGTTTTATTAATATCAATTTATAGCTTATTAAGTGTTAATCATGATGTTTTCAACATTAACGAACCATTTATTAATGATTAATAAGACTAAATAAAGTGTAGTTATTAGAAAGTGTTAAAAAACTTTTGTTAGACTACATTATTTCTGTTTTTCTTTACATCATGAGCAGTAAACTGGACCTGGACCTGGACCTGGACCTGGACCTGGACCTGGACCTGGACCTGGACTTGTGTACAGAACCACTTGAATAAAACTGAAGGTTCTGAGAAGGATTAGAGGCTCTCTGAGTACTCAGGTTACCCAATTTGATTTTCTGTCCTGTTCTGTCTTATATAATGGATTAGGAACTCCTGACCTGTCCACAGGTTGAAAAACTAAAACCAGAACCTGAACCGGCTGAAGTTTAACATCTTTATCTACGTTTTGTTTAAGTTTAAACACGGTGGAGAGACGAGGTCCACCAACATTCAGTGATTTACACACACAACTAGACTGAGTCCCAACCTGCAGCAGCTCAGCTTTTTAAACACAATCTAACTGTTTGTCCAACACCAGAACCAGAAGGACTGGACCACTGGTTCCCCACCCTGGTCCTGGTCCTGGTCCTGGAGGACCACTATCCTGTATGTTTTAGTTGTTTCACTGCCCTGCAGCAGGTCTGCAGATTCTTCAGAGACATGTTAGTCATTCATTCATTCAAACCAGCAAAACCTGTAAAACCTGCAGATCAGTGGTCCTCCAGGACCAGGACCAGGACCAGGCTGGGGTACCAGTGGACCAGACCAACCTGACTGAGTCCCAACCTGCAGCAGCTCAGCTTTTTAAAACACAATCTAACCTATCGTCCATCTTCTCTTTAACATCTCAAACGTCCCTCAGCAGAGGGAGCAGCTCCACAGAAACATTCAGTCCAGTTCAGACTCTTCAGGTCTGTCAGACCAGACAAACAGATTTAAACCCACCAGTGTCAGACCAGACAAACAGATTTAAACCCACCAGTGTCAGACCAGACAAACAGATTTAAACCCACCAGTGTCAGACCAGACAAACAGATTTAAACCCACCAGTGGAAGGAAACAAGACACTGAGCAGCAGACTTACCCAGAGACTCTGTGCTGTTGGAGCTCTGACTCTCCTACCAAAAGCTCAGTGGACTCTGGACAGATTAGTGCCTGTGAGGGACAAATAGCTGTCAGGGGGATTAGTCCAGCCACAGACGGGGGGGGGGGGTTGTGTCATTCAGAGCTCAGATTAGTTCATTCATCAGTCCTGAGCTGGACCTGGGGACACAGGAGAACTGTCACTCAGTACATGGTGTTCATGTCTGATCAATCTGACACAAACAGAGACACGTTACAGCTCATGTTTCTGTCAGTGAGAGGGTAAAATAAATAAGTATAGAAGATAAGAACAGACTGAACTTTACAGAAACATGATTCTTAGATTACTTCATGTTTTCAGTCTTCATCAGCAGCTGATGACTGGATCTATGACACTTCAGAATGTCTGTCAGAGCAGAGAAGTGTCAATGAACATCAGAACATTACTGTACTGATGTTCACGTTAAACTAAAGGTTCACGTTAAACTAAAGGTTCACGTTAAACTAAAGGTTCACGTTAAACTAAAGGTTCATGTTAAAGCTAAAGGTTCACGTTAAAGCTAAAGGTTCATGTTAAAGCTAAAGGTTCACGTTAAACTAAAGGTTCACGTTAAACTAAAGGTTCACGTTAAACTAAAGGTTCATGTTAA